TGCGACGGAAGGCGTGACGCTCCCACACCAAAAATCCATGAACGTCCCGGGGTCTCAGGGCTTCCGGTGCAAAGTTTTTCTTGTGGTCGAGCTCCTAGTGTAGGCACATCGCATCAGACATCGACCTGCCAGCCAGTGCCCCACGGAGACCTCTCATCCCCCGGGGGCCCCAGGGACGCCCAAGGTGTCTCGTGCAGCGCATTTGTGCACCGTAGGTGTCAACTGGGGGCAGGACTGCTCATTGAGCCCGCGAAGACTGGATCATGGTGGGCCCACGGGGGGGTAGTTATCAGCTCAGTTTCCGGTCAGTGTGCCATCCTCGTCCTCGTGCCGACTTGGTCCCGCAGGGGTGGCGCCAGACTAGAGCCTGCAAGGCGGGGCTTTCCTGGCGGGGCCTCGGGGAAACCTCGGCACGCCAGTCTTTGTTCCTACAGTCAGGTGGATCTTTTGCGAGTGAAATGTTCGACAGGCTGTGGGAAGGTTCGTTGCTGGGCCGCGGGGCGCTCTAGCTGCCCTTCCAGATCGCAGCACATCCTTCTGGTCGGCATCGTCCGCCGGAGCAGTTGTCCCTCGTCAAAATTTTGTGCTGGAGCCCACGCCGTGGGCTGCTGGAACCACTGACCCTCGCAAACATTGGGTGCTGGAGCCCACCCTCTACCCTTCTTGTCGGCATACGCTGCTGCAACCTCTCTCCCTCGTAACATTGGGCGCTGGGACCCCACCACGCCTAGGTTTTTGCACCCATGAGCAGGGCATGGGGAAGGGGATGGGACGAGGCCTGGGGGGGTGGGGGCCCTGGCATTGTCGTCACGCCTCGCCCTCAAACTTTGGGGCAGTGCGTGCGCGTGCGTGCGTGAGCGTGCCCGTGCGCGCGAGCCCGGGCCCGAGCCCGGGCCCGCGCGCGAGCTCGAGAGCGAGGCCGAGCCCGAGCCCCCATCGTGAGCGTGCGCGCGTTTGCGCGCGCGCGTGTGCGTGTGCGTTCGCGTTCGCGTTTGCGTGCGCGTGCACTTCGTTAACACGCGATCAACAATAACAAAAACAACAACAACAACAACAACAACAACAACAACAACAACAACAACAACCATTTTAAGGCTGTGCGCTCTTACTTGCCCGCGAGTCATTCAACACGTATACCCTACACCCTCGATACCCGCCCTCTTCGTCTTCGATCACACCCCTTTCGGGGGGATTATTTCTCTTTGCTGGGGCCGGCGGGCTTAGACGTACGGGCAAACCGGAACGGGCGGACAATCCTTCGGGGGCGTACATCTCTCTGCCCGCCATTGGAATTGGCGCGGGCCCTGCAAGAGGAGGAGGGGAAGAACGAGGGAGAGTGGGAGGAAGGGGAGGGGGAAGGACGAAGGAAGAGGGAAGATACCACGTTGTGAAGGCGTCCTTGGCGCGTGCGTGGTTCCTGAGCGCCGAAACGCAATTCCAGAATAATTTGTGAGGACGTCGCACGCGAGAGCGCAGTCCTGAGTACATTGTGAGGAAATCTCAGGCGGAAGCGGGGGCCCTGACTAAGTTGCGAGGAAGTCTCAAGCGGGAGCGCCGTTCCTGAGCAAATTGCACGGAAGTCTCAGACGGGAGCGGGGGTCCTCACTAAATTGCGAGGAAGTCTCAGGCGGGAGCTCCGTTCCTGAGTCAATTGCGCGGAAATGTCAGGCAGGAGCGGGGGTCCTGAGTAAAATTCGAAGAAGTCTCAGGCGGAAGCGCCGTTCCCACGTAAATTGCACGGAAGTCTCGGGCGGGAGCGGGGGTCTTGATTACATCGCGAGGAAGTCTCAGACGGGAGCGCCTTTCCTGAGTAAATTTCGCGGAAGTCTCAGGCGGGAGCGGGGGTCCTGAGTAACAATCGAGGAAGTCTCAGGCGGGAGCCGTTGTTGTTGTAGCCCGGGGGGCAGGGGCATAGTTTGAGCAGGAAGACTTTCCTTGAGAAAAAACAAAGTGCGAGCCCCGGGGGTGGCACTTCAATCGAAAAAAATCAATGTGCACCGGTGGGGGGGGATCAACAATAATTATTCTTCAAGAATGAGAATTCAACAACAACAACAACAACAATTACTAGCACGTGGGGACACTCCGTTCTCACCAGTGCCAGGGTTTTCATAGGAGGCGGGCAATACCCCCACTTTGTGGGGGGGCCGGTTCAAGCTCTACCAAATTTCCAAACGACTCTTCGCCACCACCCACACCCAGCTTCCCGCCCTATGACGTTCGGACACTTCACTTCGTGGCATGCGGACGACCGTGGCTACTATTCAGGGCCCCGCGGCCGACGACGACGGCGTGCGCGCGCGAAGAAAAAACGAATGTGTCCCGCATGGTATTATTTGACAGGGATGATGGCCCTGGCAGGTGCGCAACCGTTGTTGCAGAAGTTCGAAAAAGTTGCTCGCAAAAGCCCGTTTGACAGAAATGTTTAAAAAGTGTTGGGTTTCCTACGAATCCGCAAGAGCGCGCGGGATGAAATTTTGACATTTTTTTTGAAAAACCATTGGTTTTTTGATGTTTTTATGTTAAAATCGCTACGAAAACTAAGGTTTTGGAAGGATTTCGTCTTGCGCGCGCGAATGTCCACTTTACCTCATTTTTTGCAAGGGATTCTTGAAGTTTGGTTATGTTAGAACAAGAAATGTCCACTTTAGCTTATTTTTTGCAAGGGAAAACCGATCGTAACAACACAACCGGATCCGGACCAACCCGTTTTGCCTGAGACTTCCTCACGAAAATGATGAAACTGTGGCTGCGGCCTAGGCGCGGCGGGGGGGTCGTGCACCAGGGGCCCCAACAATAATTATTCTTTAGAAGTAATAATGTTCAACAACAACAACAACAACAACAACAACAACAACAGCAGCAGCAGCAGCAGCAACAACAACACTACTAACAATATTTACCTGGCTGTAGGGAGTGGTGGTTGATGTGCTGGGCTGGAGCCTTCTTCAGGACCTCTTGGAGCCCACGTGGACGCCTCTTGAGCCCCTCTAAGGCTCTTCTGGGCCCTTCTAAGGGCAGTCTTTGGACAACATTTGGGCATCTCCGGGCGGAAGCTGGCGGAAGGGCGGCGGAAGCCCGCAGAAGCGGAACCACGGCGGGTCCGCTGGCGGGACCTGGCGGAAGGTCAGCGGCAGGCGGCTGGAAGTAAAAGTGAGGCATGAACATTTTGTGGCTCCAGGCTTTCCAGAGTCGGTCATCCAGGTCACCCGCAGGGTCGCGGTCTGGGCCAGAGCAGCTGCCCTTCTCCAGGGAGGGGCGGTTGGAAGGCTTCGAGGGCGCGAAGACAATCGGGCGTCGCGCGTCGGGTCGCGGTGCGCGAAATTGGGTGGCCATCGCTGAGCACTGCTTGGATGCCCCTGCCTGTGGAGCGAGACCTGCGCGCTCGGGCGCGGCCGCCGTCTCTCTCGCGGGCCGCCGCCGATGGCCGCGTCAGAGACCTCCGGGCGGGGTGCTGGCTGATGCCTCCCCCCGTCTGGGGGGCAGCGCTGCCCGTGCTTCCCCGCAAGGGGGGACGCTGCACGCGACGCTCGACGCGCCGCCCGCGCTGCTCTTCCCCCGCAGGGGGGGGGGCCCTGCACACGTGCTGCTCGCCGCCTCGCCCGCGCTGCAGGGCTGCCCCGTGCGCCCCTCCGCTCGTGCTGGGCGCGCCGCTCGGCGGGCCCTGCGGGGCCGAAGGCTGCGCGCGGAGCTCGGGGCGGGCCGGACGAAAAGCTCGATCGGCGCCCTCGCCGTGGCGCGCTGGCCGCCGGCCCTGCGCGGCCGAGCCGCCTCCGCCAGCCGCGCCGTGGCCGGCAGCGCAGGGGGCAGCAGCGCCAGCGGCGCGGGCGCGACGCTGATCTGAGCGTGCGCGGCGGCTCCCCGTCCCCCCGAGCGATCTTTGCCCCCCCCCCCCCCCCCCCTCCCACCTCCCCTCCCCCCTTTTCTTCTTCCCTCCCGCCATGCTCTTCATCCCCGTCTGCTCCTCGCGATCTTCCTGCCATCTCTCTCTCTCTCTCTCTCTCTCCACTGCCCCGCCCACCCCCCGCACGCCCCCCGCATGGGGGGGGGGCCGCAGCAGCAGGGATGGGGGACGTGTGTGGACGGGCAGCCCCTCTCGCGCCCTTCATCTCATGGCCTGTCATCGTTCTGCTCCTTCTGCCCCCACCCCCCTCTCCTCGTTCCCCGAGGTCCCTCCGCTCCAATCTTTCGCCGCGTGGGCCCCCAGAGGTCCGGACCACCTTCCCCGGGGCCAGTTTTGCGCCACGCGTCCTTGCTTCACGCCCCCGAGGCCCTGCGAGGTTCCCCAGAGGCCCAAAGCTGGCAAAATCCTGCCGCTCCAATTCTTGGGGGAGCGCCGGATCTCTGGGATCACACCCCTCCTGCTCCCCCTGCTCTCGTCCTCCCTCCTTCTCCTCCCCTCCTCCTCCTTCTCTCCTCCTCCTCCTCCTCCTCCTCCTCCTCCTCCTCCTCCTCCTCCTCCTCCTCCTCCTCCTCCTCCTCCTCCCCCTCCCCCCTCCCTCCCACAGCGCCTAGCCTAGAGAGCATCGGTGCGCGCCTCGCTGCCCCCTATGCAGCGACGCCCACCCCCTTTCCCAGCACGCCCTCCGCAGACCGCCTCGACCGACCTCCACCCTGCTCGATATATGCTCAAGGTCCTTGCCAGATGCCCATAATATTAAGTCGGGCGTGTCCCCCTAGGGGTTTTCGACGAAAAATAAAAAGTACCCCAAAATACCCCCCCAAAAAAAAAAGTCGAAACATATTCAGAAAATAGTTCCCAGACTATTTTTGGATTACTTTTGGATTATGTTTGGTTTTTTTTTTATTCGTCGAAAGTCCCCCTGTAGGGGGACAGGCCCGACCTAACCATAATAGGAGGCGATCCAACGAGAGCCTCGGCGTCGAGGCTCGGAGGAGTCGTCATCTCTTCCTCGGCGGAAGGCGGCGGAAGGTCGGCGGAAGTGAAACGAGGCCGCCTCCGCCGGCGGAAGCTCGGCGGAAGGCGGCCGAAGTAAAGTATAGATGCCCCCGAGGGATGAAAACGTTGTTGGGTTCAGGGTTTCCGACGTCGCCCACATAAGCCAGCCCATTATGCGGGCAGCAGTCTGGCCGAGCAGCTGGAAGAGCCGCTTGCCACATCGAATGGGGAGCGCGGAGAACGTGGATCTTTATGCTCATCCTCTTTCTCCCTCTTCTCCTCCTACTCCTCCTGCTCTGTCCTTCTGCTTATCATTTATCATCTTTCGTTCTCTCTGATTCCCCCCCATCCTGAAGCTAGAAGCTACATGCAGGTCTGTCAACCGGTGACTGCTACCTGGTTCTGCTCAATCTCGTTCTTCTCCTCCTCCTCCTAGCGGTGTCCCTGCCCTTCTCGCTGGCTTCCTGGGCTCCATGGGCCTGCTGGGAGGTTCGAGGCTTTGGGTCGGTGGAGTCGATGGCCTAGTAGATATCTCGTCGATGAGGCCGAACTCCAGCCGATGTAAAGCACGTCTTCGTCCGCTCGGCTTTATAATACATAGACTTTGGTGCACCGGCAGCAGGCAGATGCAGATCTGGACCAGGAAAGGCATTCATTGATTCATTCCTCCTCCTCCTCGTCCTCCTTCTCTTCGTCCTCCTCCTCCTCCTCGTCCTCCTCCTCGTCCTCTTCCTCCTCCTCCTCCTCCCTGCTGCTGCTGCTCGTCTCGCTTCCAGGAGACCTCGTCGAGAGCGCTGGAGGCGTACAGCAGGTTCGTGCTTGAGCCAACTGCCCCCGGTATATTCGACTGCTCCAAGGATGGACGCCGCCATGGGGAGGGAGGAGGAGGAGGAGGATGAGGAGGCGGGTCCTGACGATGCGGCTCTTGTCAATGAGCCCAAGCACGCTGGCCGCGCTGCCTCAGCCTCTGCCGAAGAAGCCGAGGCCGAGCCCCGATGGGCCCAGCCGTGGCGAGGGAGATCGGGGGCTGCTCGGGCCAGACGCCGAGAGGCCGTGCCGAGCCAGGGCCGTGGCGAGCAGAGCGCGGGAACCCGGCGAGAAGGGCAGTCCGCCGGCACGGCGGCCGCAGGGCGAGGCGAGGCCGGCCGTGGCGACGCAGGAGGCCCAGCGGCCGAGGAGAAGGAGGCCCAGCGGCCAAGGAGGAGGAGGAGGAGGAGGAGGAGGAGGAGGAGGAGGAGGAGGAGGAGGATGGACAGGAGGAAGAGGAGGAGGAGGAGGAGGAGGAGGAGGAGGACAAGGAGGAGGAGGAGGAGGACAAGAAGGAGGAGGAGGAGGGGGAGAAGGAGGAGGAGGAGGAGGAGGAGGAGGCCCAGCGGCCAAGGAGAAGGATTGATAGGGCGTGCATGACGAGGACTGGACGTGTGGCCATCTCGCTGAACAGCTCGTGTGCGAAGGTTGCCACAAGCGGCTCGGACGTGGATCGGTGCAAGCACCCTTGCCCGCCCTTGCACGGGTTTGCGACTCAGATGGTCCACACGCCTCGGCTCATTGCGGAATTTCGACGAGGCTCGTCGGAAGCAGCCGCGGTTGTTTTGTGACTTTGTGGTTGATTGTTTGATTCATCGAGTTCGTTTGCTTTGTTATCCTTGCATCCGGTTCCCTGTGGGACGTGCCGCATGGAGCAGCGCTCGTGAAAGCCGTTGGGCGACTGATGTGTGCGCGGAGCTTCTAAAATCAGATGCCGAATGCCGAGCGGAGCTACACCAAGACTTGATGAATGTACGGCACATGATAAGGAGGGCATATGGTCATGTGTTGGACCATGTTGTTGCTAGCTCTGCTTATTCACGAGTTGGTGGTGGAGGGGGCGGTGGCTCACAGTTGCTTTTGGCAATCGCGTACTCAAGTTCGCTTTTCCAGTGTGTGTGTGTGTGTGTGCCCGCACTTTGGCGGCCCTAATTTGCATACAGCGTGTCCCCTGTTGCCTCTCCGTTGGAGCAGTCGACCTCTGCCCAGCCGCCGACGCAGAACATGTGTGTGCACTTGTGTGTTTATGCATATTTTGAAGCGAAGACGCCTCTTGCGAATCACCGCCGCCCCCTGCTTTTTCTGGGGACGTCTGCGTGGTCGAGCGTTGTGGCCAGAGCTCGGCGAAGCCATTGGGCTATGTGTTCCCCCAGCTGTTGTGAAACCCCTTGGGGGAGCACGTGGGGGAGACCGAAGAAGAAGAAGAAGAAGAGGAGAGAGAGAGAGAGAGAGAGGGAAAAGGAGGAGGAGGAGGCCTCTTGGGAGCCCTCTGGGGCTCGGCGACTCATGTTTATATCGATGTACTCTCAGCGCGGTGCTCACACTGAGGCACCGAGGGGATCTTTCTTTTGGACGAACGAAGTGGGAGGGTACTCCTGGGGTACTCCTGGGGGCCTCCTGGAAGCTGCCTGGGGGCATCTCTGCGGCATCTCATCTTGGGCTTAGCATCGCTCGGACGTGTGCGTTTTTTTTTCTCGGCGAGGACCATCGAGGAGCATCCTGGATCATCTAGTAAGAAAAACACGCACGACAACGACCCACAGGCACGGGGAAGGGCCGCCCGAGCGATGGCAAGGGGGCCACCTCGTGGCCTGGAGGGGCCTCCGGGGCACCTCTTCGGCCATCTCGGGGCGTTTCCGGCCCGTCTGGCGCCGTCAGGAGCTGTCCTGGGGGCCACTCCGGGCCGTCTTGGGGCCTTCCCGGGGGGTGCTGCAGGGCCGTCTGGGGGGCCTCGGGCAGCTCGGAGGCCCGCCTCGGGGCCCCCCTCGGGGGCCGTCTGGCTGCCTCTCGGGCCGCCACAGGGATCCTTTTCGGAAGCCTCGTGGGCGCTTTGGGGGGCGATCTCGGAGGCCTTTTGGATCGTCTTGGGCAGTCGGAAGGCCGAAAACAAGAAGATGCGAGCAGATGTTAAAAACCAACGGGGTATCAAAGAATTTTGGCCACCTCTTGGAGGCCTCTCTGGCCGCCTCGGAGGGCCGCCTTGGAGGCTTCTTGGGGGCAGTCTTTGGCCATCTTGGGGCCACCTCGGGCCGTCTTGGGTGCATATTGGGCTGCGTTGGGGACATCTAGCAGCCGTCTTGGGCTCTCGTGATGCCATTGAGACCGTTTTGGAGGCCTTCTTGACCGCGTTGGAGGCCATCTTGGGCCGTCTCTGGGGCCTGTTGGGCCGTCATGCAGCCATCTTGGATGCTCCTTAGGCGATATTGCGGGCCTCTTGGGTCTGATTGGGCCGTCGGAAGCCGACAAAGAGCAAAAGCCAACATTCCCCAAGCACCTGAGGACCATCAATGATTTTGACATCTTCGGGCCTTCCTGGAGCACATCCTGGAGGCCTCTTGAGCCGTCTTGGATGCCTCTTAAGTGCCTCTTGGGCCGTCGTAGGCCGTCCTGAAGCAGATCGGGCCGGCTTGGAAACATCGTGGGCTTTTTTGGGGTAAAATCAGCCGTCTTGGAGGCCATCGTGGGCGTCTTGGAGGCCTTTTGGGCCGTCTTTGGGCCCTCCTGAGGCTGGTTCGGAGGCCTCTCGTGCCGTCATTGAATATTGGGAGATCTTTGGGCGATCTTGGGGGCATCTTTGGCCGTCTTGGGCCGTCGGAAGCCGAAACGGCGCAGAAGCCAAACTTCTTATCAAACACCCAAGACCACATTTACCTGGAGGCCTTCCTGGAGGACCTCCTGGAGGCTCGTGGGCCGTCTTTGAGCATCTTGAGGCCATCTTAGGCCTTCCTTGGAGCATCTTTGGGCCATGTTTGGCTCTCTTGAGGCGGGCTGGCTTTGAGGCAAACGGGCACCGTCTTGGAGGCCATATTTGGCCATCTTGGCCGTCTTGGAGGCCATCGTTGGCGAGTTTCGGGGCACGTCGGCCGTCTTGGAGGCGATTTGGGCAACGGGACACGGAGTTTCGACGACTTCTGGGTGGGGAGGAGGAGGAGGAGGAGGAGGAGGAGGAGGAGGAGGAGGAGGAGGAGGACAGGGTCGACGACGACGAGGCCGAGGCGGATATTCCTCATGGTGGTCGTGGTGGTGGTCGTGATGGTTGCCATTGTCGTCGTAGTATCTTTGTTGTCCACAGCGGGTGCCGAGGAGACCCTGTTCGACTTTATTCGGCAGGCGGGAAGCAAACCCCGATCGTCGCGTCATTCTGCGGTTTTGCACGCCCCTGCCCGTCGTCTTCGTCCTCGTCGCCCTCGCCGTCCTCGCCCTCGTCGTCCTCGCCCTCGTCGTCCTCCTTTGCCTCGTCCTCATCCCCCTCCTCCTCTCACTCGTCACTCCTCCCCATTCCGCGCCTGTGCTTGTGCCCTCTTCGTCCTCGCCGTCGTCCTCTCCTGCTCGTCCGCCTCCTCTTGGTACTTCCTTGTCCTGCCAGCGCTTCTCGGCATCGTCCTTCTTGCCGTTTTCCTCGCCACAAGCCCTTCCCCTCCTCATCGTCCTGCGCGTCCTGCTCCTTCTCCTTCTGCTCCCCCTTCTCCCTCCCAGTACCTTGCGCGTGGCGCTTCCGCCTCGTGCCCCCCCGCGCGCCCTCGCCGCGGGGGAGGGCCCCGCAGCAGGGCCGAGCTACCCCCTCCCCCGCCTTCCTCCCCTCCGGGAGAAGGGAGCAAATGCGGGGGGAGGAGAAGGGCGAGGCGGAGGAAGGATGGAGGAGGCAGAGGATGACAAAAGGGGGAGGGATAAGGGGAGGAGGGGGGGAAGGAGGGGGAGGAGGTGGGGAGGAGCGGGGAAGATGGGGCGGGGAGGGGGCGGGGGCAGGGTTCAGTTCCCAACCGGAGCGCCGCAAGCTGTCTCGCGCACTCCCACCCGCCTTCCCACCACATGACCTGGGGCGCTGTATAGGCAGTGGCCGCCATCCGATGGACAGCCATTGGGACCAACTACAGACGCCAGGTGCGTCATGCCCACTGCATGTGCCACGCGCACCTGTTAGGCCAAGCGCCCCAGGTTCCCAGGCGTGCCAGGTGCGCCTGATTCCTATTGCCTTTCGAGCAGGCGCCGCTTGTCTTCTTCAGAGGGGAGAGGCGGATGAGCAGCAGCAGCAGCAGCAGCAGCAGCAGCAGCAGCAGCAGCAGCAGCAGCAGTCTGGAAGAGGTGGAGGTACAGGAGCAGCATGGAGGGTGCGGTGGAGCGGGGAAGTGGAGGAGTGACACCCTTGCCTCCCCCCCCCGCCTGTGCGCCAGACAGCGCCCTAGTCCGTCGACCAGCAGTTATCACACGCCTTTCCCTCTTGCCTCCCCGCCACCTGTTCCTGCTCCCCCCTCCCCGTTCCTGTCCCAGCTGCTCCCACCTCCCGGCCCCCCGCTCTCGCCCTCTCGCCCCCCCGCCCAGGAGTTCCCTCTCCGCCTCCGCTCCCCCCTTCGCCCCTCCTCCGGGCCGCGCCCGCGCGCTCGCCAGGTGGCCTCCAATTATTCGGCCGACTGCCAGTACCACAATGCCATCCACGCCGCCCAGGTCCACCGCGAGGGGCGAGGGGGAGGGAGAGACGGAGGACATCTGCGCGTGAGGGGGTGCTCGAGCGGAGTGGGGGAGGGGGGGGGGAGGCGAAGGGGGAATACAGTGGCGACCCATGCCGAGAGAAACACCCTGCCTGCCTCCAGGGTGCCCCTGGGCTTCTTGGGTTTCGATGGTTTTTCCTGTGGGAAGCGTGACGTCCCCACGCCAAGAAATCTTTAACCTCCTGGGGTCTCAGGGTTGGGTGTCTCGTGGAAGTTTTCTTGTGGACTGGCCTCCACTGTATGTTTCTTGTCAGACCCCATGGCCATGGCGATGGCGATACAACTAGCCGGCATTGCACTTGGGCATCCCAAGGCGCAATGCGATAGCATCGTTCTGTGAGCTTGAGCCTGCCGCCTCCCCCTCCCTGAGCCCCTAGCAGCCTCCCACCAATGGGTCACTCGTGACTGCATAGACTGACGCTTGCGCACGGCCATGCAGTGAGAGTGAGACTCGGCCTCTCATCCCCCGCGTCGTCATTGATGATGACGGTGATGCGTGCAACAAAGGAGGTAATACTAGTATCGACATTGATGATACGGAGGATGAAGGTGATGATGATGATGATGATGATGATGATGATGATGATGATGATGATGACAGTGCCCAACATGATGAGGATCAGGATGATGAGGATGATGCCGATGATGCCGGTGATGTCGATGATGGTGTTGATGTTGATGCTGATGCTTTGCTGATGGGAAGGATGATGATGATGATGATGATGATGATGATGATGATGATGAGGATGAGGATGAGGATGAGGATGAGGATGAGGATGAGGATGATGATGATGAGGAGGATGATGAGGATGATGAGGATGATGAGGATGATGAGGATGAGTATGAGGATGAGGATTAGTATAATGATGAGGATGAGTATGAGGATGCTGATACTGCTGATTAGGATGCTGCTACTGCTGCTGATGATGCTGCTGGTGATGATGAGGCTGCTGATGATGATGGTGGTGATGGTGACGGTGATGGTGATGGTGATGGTGTTGTTGGTGGTGATGCTGATGAGGATGACGGTGAGGATGCTGAGCTCGGCCAGAGCTGGCTCGGCGCTGGCGGCGAGCGCCGAGGTTCTCCACTCGGGCACCTGGCTCACCCGCCGCCTGCTCGCCGGCCAGCAGTCGGAGCTCGAGGCCCGGCGGATGCCGCCGGGCGGCCGCCGCCGACGCCGTCGCTCTCTTCGTCGTCGTCGCTGTCGCCGAGGGAGGGCTCTTCGGACGGGGCTAGGATTATATAAGTCGGTAAGTCGGGCTTGTCCCTCCACAGGAGGAATATTCCCAAATAGTCAAAAACAGTTTAGGGACGTTTTTTCCGACTATTTTTGAGCATTGTTTGGAGCATTCTTTACATACTTTTATTTTTTCGCCCAAAATCACCTTGTAGGGGGACAGGCCCGACCTAAGGCTAGGACGCCTTGATTTTTTCAATCTGGGCGTTTTTCCTTGATGTCTGCCTCTGGGGCCCATTGTGCTGTAGGCCTCCCAGATGTGTCCGAGCTGATGGGGTCAGGGGGTCGCGCCGCATCGCCGATGTATCGCCGATGCTGCTCGATGTGGAGCCCGATGTTCGCCACGCCGACGGTGCCGATGCATCAGCGATGCGATACGATCCACCGACCCCATCTACAAGGGCGGGGCCAGGACGAGGATAGATCCTCCAGAGCGCTCCGGAACGCTCTCAGAGCGTTTCCAGAACGCTATGAGGAGGCCGCGGCGCCCGAGACATCCTCCAGGGCTTCCGGATCTGGGAAAATTCTCGATCTATCCCCACCTGATTTTTCTGATCATCGCCCTGGCTCTTTGCGTCCTAGCTCTCTGCGCCCCCCCCGCAGGAACCCAGGGAACCTCCGTGAAACGGGCAACGTAACAATAGGAGGTACCGGGAGCGAGGAAGCCGAGGAACCTCCGAGCGGGCAAAATTAACAATCGGGGGCACCAACTTTTAACCAAGTAAGAACCCCTTAGGCCTCCAGGCGTCGCTGCGGAGAGCGCAAGTTGCTCGCACGAGTGGCCCCTGCGGAGCGCGGCGCGGCACCGCGCCGAGGCAGCGTGTGCCGAGCAGGGCCTGGCGGCGAGCTGCAGGGGGAGGGGGAGGTGTGCGGGGGCCGGGCCTTCTCCGAGGGCTCCCTCCCTCCCTCCCCTCCTCCCTCCCCTCCCCTTCCCTCCCCTCCCTCCCTCCACCCTTCCCTCCCCTCCTCCCTCCCCTCCCCTCCCTCCCTCCCTCCCTCCCTCCCTCGCCTCCTCCCTCCCTCCCCTCCTCCCTCCCCCTCCCCTCCCCTCCCTCCCTTCCCTCTCCCCTCCCCTCCCATCCCCTCCCTCCCTCCCCTCCCCTCCCCTCCCCTTCCCTCCCCTCGCTTCCCCCCCCCCCCCTCTCCCCTGTGGCGGGGCTTCTGAGAAGCCCTTCGGCCTCCCAGGGAGTCGAAGGAGAGAACGCGCCATAAGCCCAAGTCGGGCCCGCCCCTCTACAGGAGGAATACCCCAAAATAGTCAGCAACAGATAGTATGGGGACGATGTTTGAGTATGTTTGTCCTGTTTGGTGTATTTTTTGACAGTTAAAGAACTCAACCTTCCAAAAGTCGCCTGTGGGAGGACATGCCCGACCTAACCATAAGCACAAACTTTGGGCGCTCCGCGCCGGCTTTCTTGGACCCGCGCTGCCGGGCCCCCCCCCCCCCGGCGGCGCCTCGGACACCGCCCCCCTGGTGCGCTCCGCGCGCCAGGGAGGGGGGCCCAGAGCGCGGACGCAAGAAGTCCAGCGCGGAGCGCCAGAAGTCTATGCCTCTGTGGCGTCTTTCATTCTTTTTGAGGCCCCTTCTCGTCCTCCTATGCTCCTTCTCATCTTTCTCCTCCTGCTCCTTCTCTTCCCCCTTCTCCTTATCTTCCTCCTCTTGATCATCATCATCGTCCTCTTCTTCCCCTCCACCCTTCCCCCTTCCACTTGTCATCCTGCTCTTTCTCCTCCCACTCCTTCTCCTCAGCCGCCTCCGTCTTCGGAGCAGGCTCCGAGCACCTCTCGAGAGGCCCCCCTGGGCCTCCCGAGGCCGTCCTGCTGAGGCCCGCCCCCGCTGGAGGTCGTCCCCGTCTTCGGAGGAGGCTCACAACAAAAACAAAAAAACGCTGCTCCATAGGCCCGAGGCCTTCCCAGAGATCTGGCCGCTCCAGTCTTCTTTCAAGCCTGGGCCCCAGAGGTCCAGACCACCTCCCCGCGGGGCCGGTTTCTCGTCCCGAGCCGTTTTTTGAAGCCCCTGCGAGGCCCGGCGAGGGCCCCCGGAGGCCCAAACCTGCCAAAGCCCCGCCGCTCCAACTTTTTCGGAGCGTCGGATCTCCGTCTTCGGAGAAGGCTCCGACAATCCTGGGCCTGTTTTCAACCACCACCACGATAAGTTGGATGGGGGAAGGGGTTGGAGGACGAGGAGGAGGAGGACGAAGAGGAGGAGGAGGAGGAGGAGGAGGAGGAGGAGGAGGTAGGAGAGGAGGAGGAGGAGGGGGAGAGGAGGAGGAGGAGGAGGAGGAGGGGGAGGAGGAGGGAGAGGAGGAGGAGGAGGAGGTGGGAGGAGGAGGACAAAGAGGAGGAGAGAGGAGGAGGGGGGAGGAGGAGAAGACAGGCCAGGAGGAGCCACTCCCCCTCCAACCTACGATGGTAGTGGTGGACAACAGGCCCATCAGACAAACAGAACCGGCCCCCCAGATGCCCGAGGCCTGCCGGCGCCCGGGCGGGCCCGCCCCCATGGGGGGGGGGGGGGGGGGCGAGCATGCGGGGGAGCGAGAAGAGGCTCGGGGGGCCCCGACGGGGGCCTGCTGGGGAGATGCCAAGAAGCACCCTGCCTGCCTCCAGGGTGGTGATCGTTCTTTGATGCATCGTTCTGCCGATCGGCGCGGGTCCTCGTGCCCCCCCCCTCCCCTCCCCCGCCCCCCTGTCGCAGCTCTTGGCTCATTTTTTTTCGCCCCTGTCTCGAGCAGGCGGAGTCTCCCCCGCAGGACGCACTGCTGCAACCAGTCGCATGAAGCAGAGGTCCGGAGCCAGGACCCCCCCCTCCCCCTATTCCGCGGAACGCTCACGTGCCCTATGGGCGTCTTGGGTCTCGGTGGTTTTGCCACGGAAAGCGTGACGCTCCCACACCAAAAATCCGTGGACGCCCTGGGGTCTCAGGGCTGGGTTTCTTGTGGAAGGTTTCTGGTGGTCGGGCCCATACTGTCAGGAGGGGAAAAAACACACAGACACAATTAATCGTCGATTCCCAGAAAATATGGGAAAATATGGGAAGTGGGGGAGAAGACAAAAACCCAGAAAATGTTGACAAATATGGGGAATCTGTTTATCAGTGTGTATTTAGTTGTGTGTCCCAGGGCCCCCTTATACTCGTACTGTACGCTGCCCGGGCCCCGGCGGCCGCCTCTTCGGGCTCGGGGTGCCAGGGCGGGCGGCCGCGGCGGGGCGTCGGGGATCGCCGCCGAGGCCCAGGTCGGGCACGTCCTCCTCCTCCCCCTCCTCCTCCCCTCCTCCCTCCTCCTCCTCCTCCTCCTCCTCCTCCTCCCCTCCTCCTCCTCCACCTCCTCCACCTCCCCCCTATCCTC